CTATCCCGGAGCCTTCCAGCCTCCTCCCTTCCAGACCCCCCCCCCCCCCCCCCCCCCCCGCGTCTTCCCCACTCACTTCCTCCAGACTGAAAGCAGCAGCAATAAGGAAACAACTGGTGAAACTTTGCATCTGCAGAGCTTATTATATGAACTATTTCTCAGTCTGATGCTCCAAAGAAAGTTTGTAAACGGCTTAATGGTGAAATGTTGTGATTATGCACTGAAGGTGAAGCGATGGAAAGAGCAGGAGCTTCTTAAAGAGACAGACTTCATTTTAAGGTGTCAAATTCAAATTTCTTTTAAAGGGGCAGTATTATATAAAGTCAACTTTTTTGAACTTTAGATCAAGTTATAATGTTATTCTCTCACTCAAGGTATGTTTTGATTTCCTCATTAAAATATATCTTGACCAGAGTGCTGTGGAGGCGCAGGGACAAAGCATGACCCACATATGGAGGCCTTAGTCCTCGCGGTGGCAGTTGCAGGTTCGATTCCCAACCTGGTGACATTTGCCGCATGTCTTCTCCCTCTTTTCTGTCGGGCTACTTTCAAATAAAGGCAACTAGAGCCAACAAAACCTTTTAAAAATATATATATACCTGGACTGTAGCTTTGAATCTTTCATGCATGTTTGAGGAATCCTTCAATCTCCTGTGGCAACCATTCAGCTGTGCAAAATGTCTGGGTGGACCTAGAGCTGCATTTGAGACACAGCTCCTCCTTGGAGCTGCAGTTTCCAAGCTTCTGACTCCCCAACTCAGTTCCTTCAGACTAACTAGCAGGAATTAGCAAACACCTGGTGGAACTGAAAAACTGCTGGGCTCATTATAAAAGCTACTTCTCAGTACAACACTGGTGAAAACATTGTTAAAGGGTCAGTTGAGGAGCAATGTTGTAATGACCTTCTATAAGCATAGTTTCTCAAGGACTTTTTAAAGACTGACGCCCAATTTAATGGTTAAATTAAGAAGTAAAACAAGGCATATTTTATATACATAGCATTTCCATAACAACTGAAGTTAACATAGTTACTTGATTACGCTTTGTGCCTGGAAAACACATAATGGTGCCCCTTTAAGTTATGTTTGATATGCACAGCACTTTTATAACCATTGAAGGTGACAGCTACTTGATTGAGCTATAAAATACAAGTGTGTACCTGGAACATGAAAGAAGTTCAAGTGTTTTAATAGGTTCAGGAGTCTGACTCAGATAAACATCCCAAAGTGTCCTGAAACCATTGTGCACCTTTCTGCATCATCCAGTGGAACTGGTTGATGCAGTTCCACTTGTTGGAACTGCAATTGGACTTTGTAGTGCAATTTTGGATTTTATAGTGCTATTTAGTGCCATGTTGTGATAGCACTACAAAATCCAAAGTATTTTGGATTTTCTCTGATGTTCAGTTTGCTAACAAATCTATAAGGACCGTCAGACATGCATGATGAATATATTGTCAACCTTTCCCAACAGATTCATGCTAATATTGAAAATTCATGGAACGAGGAGGAAGTGTGGCGGGTAGAGATGTACGTTTCCTTTGGGATCATGAGCTTTGGGCTCATGTCCCTCCTGGCCATCACCTCCATTCCTTCTATCAGCAACTCTCTCAACTGGCGGGAATTCAGCTTCATCCAGGTACAAACCTGTCTTTCAAGATGTGTTAATGGCTTGTGTCTACAGAATCAGTAATATCTGATGAAAAGATAAAGGTGCATAATTTCAGACTTGTTTTTGTATTTAAGCAAAATAAGCTGTATTTTGTTCTTTTTTTGTTTCATATCCCAATATTTTGTTGATTCATTTTGAAAGATAACCAAATAGTGCCTGTCTTAAACTGATGCAGTAAATTTTCCTTTTAAATGAACAGTTTTCAATTAATAAATTATAAAACCTCAAATGGTGTAAACCTATTCAACAATTACTGATGCAATGTTTTTTAATTTATTGGCAGGAAATTGTCTGATAGAAATTTATGTATCCATGAGAAATCAAAATAAAAATCTGTTCATTAGTTTCAGCCTGTTCACCATTGACCAGCTAGTAAAATGTATAGAAATAAATCACTGATACACTTGTATGTAACCTAGTTTGCATTGCGTGACAGACCCAGTGTCTGAGCCTGTTAAGCAAATTAAATGTTCATTTAAAACAGGGAAATGATGAGACACAACTGGTGTAGGCTCAATCCCAATACTCGCATTTCCACCTTTGTTTCCTTCAAATGCAAGTTCATGTCAAAGGGTTTGAATGACTAGTGTGTCCCAATTTAGCACATCCGTCTCCCCCTATCCCTCCTTTGAGGTCACATTATCACATTCTACTAAGCCTGCATCCAGACAGACTTTGGGGAAGTGTATTACCTGCAATTCATGTGACATTTTGAAATTAGTTTTATTGAAAATGAAAGCTATTACAAAAAACAACAGCATACTCACAGCAAACAATGTATAACAATCTACAGAAAACAGAACACATCTCCTTTTGAAAAAAAGACATGTTATGGGGTTACTATCTGAAACTCTTCCATTAAGCCACAATTTTGTTCCACTTGTGTTCTGCATCTTACTCAGACGCCTTTTGAACAAGGAGTTTATTTGTGAGAGCAGTGAATGAGAGGGAGCATTCTGCAAATCGACATTTATGAGTATAATATTTTGATACAATAATTACATTAACTATAAGACAGCTATATGTTTATAGCAGATGTGGGAATGATTGAATTGCCTGACTGTTCATTGCAGCAATACACATTATTAGCAGAAATAGAGGGCCCCAAAACCAAATTTTAGTCTTGGACTGGCCCTGACTTGGCATATGTAATGAGAGGATAAGACATTGTCAAATTTCTGATAATCAAAGCACAAGGATTTGGACGAAGTCAACAGCCAGACAGAAGAAGAGGAAGAGGTGTGAGGCTGTGACAGAGGAGTTAGAAGGCAAAACAGAAGAAGAGTAAGAAGAGGCTAAGGACATTTGCTAGTTTCCATCACTCAGACATCAGCACTGTAAAAGATTAGATTTTTAACCTAAATGTGTGAGTTTGTGGGAGATAAACGTATTAAGTTGTGCTAGCCTTTTATTAATTTTGTAGAATTTCCAGGAGTTGAATAAAGTTTTTATGGTAGTACTTAAAAAATTTGAAACAAAAGCAGGAAAGGGAACTGTTTCCCAGAATACTTAGCGGTTTTTGTATCCTGTGTTGCTCCGTGAGTGAGATGGAAGCGTGTTACATTGAACTGACTCCGGTATGTTATTAAGGCAAATCTTAATAAGACGCAAGATTTTGATTTGTTATTATGTTTCTTGAACTTAATGAAATTGGAGTGGTATCCTCAGTAATAAATAAAGTCTTTATCAGTCCTTAGGGTGCAGCATAAGGGTGTGGGTTTCTATGCAGGGGGCAGAGAGGATGGAAGGTGGACAGATAGATTTCACAACTATTGGGTTTTGTTTATCAAACCCACTACGGTGGTATTATTTGCAAACTTTGGAATCCTATTAGAGGAGTGGATGGCTGCACAGTCATAGGCAAACAGTGTAAAAATAACTAGAGAAGCACACAGCCCTGCAGGGTGGATGATGTTCAGTCCCCTATTCTCACCACCTGAGAAGGATCCTGATTCAAAGACACATTGATGATGAAAGTCCCAGGTCATGGAGCTTCACTATCAGCTTCTCTGGGACAATGGTATTTAATGCTGAGCTGAAGTCAACGAATAGCATCCTAACATAAGTGTCTGGATGCCGCAGATGTGTCAGGGCTGTGTGTAGTTCAATGGAGACAGCATCCTCTGTGGATCGGTTCCTCCTATAGACAAACTGGTGCCTGTCCAGACCAGCAGGAAGGCTATCCTTGATGTGTTTTAGGATGAGCCTCTCAAAGCACTTCATAATGACTGGGGTTACTTGCAAATGGGTGGTAGTCATTTAAGCCAGTCATAGCAGATTTATTTGGTAATGGCACAGTGATGGAGGACTTAAGGCAGACAGTGGAAAACTACAGGGACAGATTGAAAATGTCTAAAAAGACCCTGCCAAATGGTCAGCATATAACTTCTGGGCTCTTCCTGATACCTTGTCTGGTTGTGCAGCTTTGTCAGGGTTAATCCTCTTCAGAGAAGAAGTCACCTGGTTGAGCTGCAGGATTAGGGGCTGATGTCTCTCCTCTAGTTGGATGGGAGGATTGCTTTCTCTGCCATTAGTGGCGTTAAAAATCTAGAGAAGAAACTGTTCAGTGTATCGGGAAGAGAGGGATCCCCACTGAGCCACTGGCTGGTGTTCTTACAGTCTGCCATAGTCCTGAGTCCTTTCCACATATTTCATGGGTCGTTGTTGAACTGTTCCTCAATGCACCACCTGAACCTAAGTTTTGCCAGCTGTATTCCTTTTTTCAACTTGTCAGATGACCTGTAGGCAGCATCACGGGCTCTGAGCAGAGACCAGTTCCATCTATCCACGACTTCTGATCAGGAAAAACCATAGCACTTTTAATGGGTAAGACAGCATTTGTGCAGAACCTCAGATAAGATAGAACAGCAAATGTGTAGCCCTCTAGATCTGAGCTGTCTTTGAAAACTTCCCATTGAGTAATCTCAAAGCAGTCCTGGAGTGATGAGAAGGCATCCTCAGTCCAGACCTGAACAGTTTTAATGACCACTGATCTGCAGATCTGCAGTCTGTAGGCAGGGGTGAGTTCATCTGTGAAGTGGTCAGACACTCCCAGATGTGGACCTGCATCAGGCTTGTATGCCCCTTTGATGTTACAGTAGACCTGATCCAGAATATTTTTGTCTCTTGCAGGAAAATCTATGAATTTATGGAATTTAGGCAGCACAATCTTAAGTTCTGCTCAATTAAAATCTCCTCCCACAATCATAACTGCCTCAGGGTGAGCATTCATCTGCTCATCAGACAGTAGTAGAGCGTGTCCAGAGCTATCTTAGTATTTGCTTTATCTGGAATATAGACAGCAAAGATCAGAAGGGAGCTGAACTCTCTTACCAGCTTGAAGGGTTTGCACTTAACAGCCAGATATTTCAGGTCAGGTGAACAAAAGTTCCAACAGTTTTGACGGCTGAGCACCAGGAGTTATGCACAGACGTTAGCTGAGGCTGCAGCTCTGTCTGCCCGGAACAAAACTCCACTGCAGCGTCGGGACGTTATTATCCAGCCATGTTTCAGTGTGTGTGTGTGTGTGTGTGTATATATATATATATATATATATATATATATCTATATATATCTATATATATACTTATAATACTCTCAAATGAGAGCTCATAAGCTCCGACACAAGAGATCAGAGCTCATAAAAGAAGTCAAAGAAACAAAACTGAGCAAACAAAAGTAACTTTTACATGATATAAATACATATATTAACTAAATGTATAACATTTTACAATAGAATAAATGTATCCAAATCAACTAATATATGTTGTATTGAAACTAAAGTGTTGTGTTTGTATAAAAAATAAATTGTGCATAAAAAGAGTTAGCGACTTCAGAGTGTGGCCGTTGGTTTGGGCATCACACTAAACAAGACAGCAAAAACCATAATAGAAACCACACAGGGTTATCACTTATCACTCATTATTGTCTATATAGAATCTCACCTGATTATTTGAAGGACCTCCTTATTTCATATTCAACTTCTAGATCCTTACGATCCCAAGCCTGTAATCTTCTCCACCTTCCTCGATCAACACTAAGGACTTTGGGTGATCGGGTATTTGCTGTGGCTGCTCCTCGTCTATGGATTTCTCTCCCGGACTATTTGAGAGCCCCGCAATTATTGCCTGACTTTAAAACCAGCCTGAAAACTTTTCTTTTTAGACAAACCTACTCCACTTTTAAATGACTGTCTTCTTTCGATTGTTGATTTTATTTGATTTTAGCTGCACTATGCAGCACTTTGAGATTTTTGTTAATAAAAAGTGTGTTATAAATTAAATTGATTATTATTATTATTATTACTGCAGACATTGTGATCCAAAAGTTGTGTACAATATCAGTACACAGGTGGACACAGGCCTGTTTTCCATTTTTGACACGAGTTGTCTTCTTTTTTTTCTCCATAGACCACTCTGGGTTACATCGCCCTTCTCATTGCTACTATTCATGGCCTACTGTTTGGCTGGAGACGGGCGTTGGATGAGGATGCCTACCGCTTTTACCTACCCCCCAGCTTTGTGGTGTCCCTAGCTCTGCCTGTCTGTGTCATACTGGGAAAGGTGCTAATGTTGCTTCCCTGTGTAGGTCACAAGCTTCACCAGATTCGCAAGGGTCTGGACACCAGTCCCTGCAAAGCCCGGCGCCTGGAGCCAGTTGGCTCAGCAGCAAACATTTCACCAGAGAGAGTTACCATTATGTGATTTACTCCAGTTTTTTGCTCATTGATGTGACTAAGCACTTTGTGGTTTTAACTCTATGAACATACCAACATACCACTGTCTTTCTCTCAGCAGTTTGGCTGATTTGTGTGCTGTGTACATGTGACCATGTTAGGTTTTCTCCAAGTAAAGCTGTAGCACTGAATAACCTTACTGTCAGTATAAAAAGTCTTCCTCTAGTGTTTTATGAACACAATGCTTTCATTCTTTTATACTTTTATTTGAAATTTTATACCAGTTGGTTAAATTCTTGTTCTCCTAAGTCTGGTAAATCATCTTTGTGCCTGAATGTTTCCTAATCTCCAAGAGAAGTTCTGTCATTATTATGTAGTAGAAATAAAAACAATGATTCAGCAGTTAGTGAATGCTTTAAACTAATAACAGTCCCAGTGACTCATTGAGCCATTCATGTCCACTGAGGTTGGACCTGAGAAGGAAGATGAAGTGGAGCCTGTCCTTTGAAAATCTTGCATACATTCATGATTCTCTTCAAATCCTTTCCCACCTGTAATGTGACGGATATCCTGTACAGCTCGCTGAAAAACAAACCGTTTGGCTTGGTTGTTCGAAGGAAATGCTAAAAATAAAATATAGCAATGACCTGGTCGAATAAGAGTATACATTCTGAAAGTATGGAATTCTAAAACCGTTCAGTTTTGGGGTTAAAGGTCACTCCACTCTTGCACCTCAATATGAAGGTTCTACACATGGAATCCTCACTTGAGTTACAGTTTATGTTACTGCTCTTCTTTTGATGGATCTCAACCAGTGACATGCCATCATGGAAAGCAGGAGGCTCTGCCTCACCTGTCATCATGGAAAAATAATATATAATATCATTTATATTGCTATATTCACCCTGTGGTTTACACTATAAAGTATTTATATTTCATTTAGCTTAACTAATTTTGATTATATTTTTCTTCATAATTGCTGAATTTTTGCAATTTTCCATTCAAATGCAGCTGGTGAGGCAGCAGGAAGCTGAGCCTCACCTTGGATTGTACAACCTCTCGCTAACTGCGCTGGCTGCCACTCGATGAGAGCATGCTCCTCCTGTCTGTATGTTGCCAATAAAATGGTTGAAAACATTTAATATATAAACTGATTTTCCATAATGCATATATTAATATAATGTACAGTGCTTTTTGTCACTGACTGTGTGTGATGTGTTTCGTGTGCTGAGGAGCGAACAGAAACAGCAAAGACCAGTTTCCTTGCCTCATGGCAGGGGGCGCTCATGATCCCAGACATTGGTGTTGTGACTCCACATCTCCAGAGTAAGAGACAGTGAGCTAGCCATACAGTAAATAAGTCAAGTGCAGCGATAGATTTGTTTTCTCTTCTCT